TGACATTAATTTTGGATTGATAACATCTTTTTTTATTTTTGCAAAATTTCTTTTCTACTTTATATGATTAAAAGTTTGTGCCATTTTTTGATATCATGTTTTTTGTAGAAATAATGAAATGACTTTTTAAATAAAAATAAACTACAAAATAAATTGTATTTCACTGTAAAGTTTTTTTTATTTTATTAAATTAAAAGTTGGTACCAATTCTTGATATCACATCTTTTGTACCAATATAAAATTTATTACTAAAAAGGTTTTCGTAGATAAAAACTTTTGTATAAAAATATTTTTTTTTACATAAATAAGAAAAGGAGCATGTGAACTTGGCGTTATTTTTGACTTTTTTTAAAGGATAATTTTGTTAGGTAATATGATTTCTTTAGTTATTTTGGATATAAAAATATTAAAATACAATTATTACAAAATAAATAATTTACGAGATATTTTATATCTTATTTTGGCATATTCTGACAAAATACAAAATATTTATTTATATTTCAAAATATTTATTTTATACTTTAAGTTAGAACACTCGTAAACTATTTATTCTTTGATAACCGTACTTTAATATTTTTATGTATATAATAATAAGACAAATCATAATTGAAAAATGTTTTATTTCCAAGACCGTTCAATTGACCGTTTAACTTGAATACTTGATAAATTAATTAGATTTTGATCAAACTTACTGTCTTAGATATAAATGCATGCGATTTTTATACTTGTTTGCTAATAAATAGAATGCGATGCTTAATCGCGAAATTCTCTTTTGCGCAATTTTGGCATCGAGAATTAATTTTAGCGGAAATAAATCAGTATGAATACTAATTTGATGTACGAATGTATAATAAAGTTACACTATACGAAATTCTTGAGTCTAAATAGAAATGGCTACAAATAAATAACATATTTTCGATTAATTATTTCGCATATAATTTATGCAGCTTTTATATCTTAAAATATACGTATATATGATTTATTATTGACATTTGAAGCGTATACAATGTTAGTATCGATACAAAAAGGAAGTACAAAGATTCTCGCGTACTCGATAATAAATTAAGATTGCAATGATAATATAATAATAATAATAATAATAATAATAATAATAAACACACATCACATATTGGGAGGGAGGTGTAATAGCACGATATTCCCTTAAAAATAAAATACGCTATGACGACGCTGCGTCGATACATTAATGGCCATAATCAGAACAGAACAGAGCATATACCGTAAAAAAAAAAAAGGATGAAATCGCGTCGTATGATTAATGCTATAATAAATAATAATGAGTCTATACCGTCAAGTGCGATGAAAGGACTATATCAATACGCGACTGGCGACCCTTTCCCGATTAAAAAAGAAGAGAAAAGAAAGATAATTCCTTAATGTAATAATGTAATAAGATAGACGATATTATTCGTCACCTGCCATATGTAATAACGACTTGTGCAAACCATAATTTCGCTGCGCGAATTCAGAAGCGCGCGGCTGTCCGAGAAGGGATCGGCAATCGCGATACTATTATCGTAGAAATAGCAGTAACAATACGATAACAATCCGGATTGCGACTGGCAAGATGCTCCTCCTCGAGCGCATTTTTCTCTGTGCAGATTCGCCGTGTTTCGGATCGCTCGTCGTGGACGATCGAAATATTCGAATTCGAAATCGAAAACGTGAAACGATTCTCTGTCGCGTCGCGCTTATTTGTCTAGAATCACGAACATTCGTCCAACCCGAATATTTGATCGATTGAAATTAATTAAAATTTGCAGCTGGTTAATGCGAGCCGAGCGAACTTAAATACTACAGGACTCGTAACATGACAAATCAACACGTAATTGTCGCTTCCCGAATTTGGGAGATACGAGCTGAATTATCTCGTCGATTAATTTTCCTTTTTTTTTCTCTCTCTTTCTTTCTCTCTCATATCATCATGTCAGCTCCGTCGAGCTTAATAGAGATAATTTTTCGGCTCCTCCGTGGGCTGTCCACACATTCCATGATACTTTTTCGTAACGAGACTTCTACTACGGCAATTTTCGATCTCCAGGAAGCACTCGTTGCTGTATGTCATGCCATCGGTACCGCAAACCGGGTCGTAATAGGGTGGACAGATCTTTTGACAGCCGCGAAACAGGAAACCTTGGACACACCTCTTCATAGGCACCACGTACACATGTTTCCTGGAATGAGAGAATCAAGATTAGTTCTTTTCTCTCTGCTTGCAATATCGTGATATCGCTAAAGTAAAAAACTAAATAGTATTTTATTTCGGGCATTTAGAAGTAATTGTAGCGTTCCGGAAATTTGAACAACAAAATATTATTTGGATGACAAAATATAATTTCAATTTAATATTTATGTCACGCAACTACCTATGTATTTGTAATTTTTTTTAACATTGGGGTTGATTTGACATACGTGTGTATTGAGTAAATATGCATTAGAAGCGGACATATAGAAAGCGGTCGAAAATAGAAAATGACTTCTTAGGGAAAATGGGCCGTGTGAAGTCGTCGACAATTTCTACTTTCAAGATTGCGCGCGATTGTGTTCGATTCACCTTCCCGAAGTAGGATACTTTCCTTTCACATATTTGAACGGCAGGTTCAAAAACGTTCTACTAGTATGCAACGCGGCCGATAGAAGTGGTTTGTTATTTCTAACAAATAATCTTCTTAAAGAAAGAAGATGTAATGGAACGGCTCTCCCTCCCCCCCCCTTTCCCCTGACTGAATCACTCACAGACTTTCATCGGACACGCATGCGATATCGGCTCGGATTAACCGTTTCTCGAGGACCAGTTTCTTAGACGATCTCCTCTTCCTTGAATGTATTCCAGCGGCGCGATTGGGCGTAATGAAAGTCTATGGAAAGTATATCGGGAAGAAGTACGATCGCGGTCAGCAAAATTATATGCACGACACGAAACGCGCTGCTCTCTAAGTACTTCTGGATAAAGAGAATAATTGAATTTGGTTGATTAACCTTTTTACTTATGGATATAATTTAAAATTATAGCTAGACAGTTTTTTTATTGTACGAGATCGAAATAAAAATTGCACGCTTGAAATTGAAATGATCAAATTATTCTTAGATAATTTAATTACTTTTCTTGAGACAGAAAAAGATTTGAATAAATTAATTCTTCTTAAAAAGAAATTAATTTAAAGCGTTTATTTTATCTTGCAATTTTACCTTTACTTTAGTCACAGTTAATATGAGAAAAAGATTCTAGAATTTAAATATATTTTAAAGTGAAATTAAAAAAGCCTTTAAGGCTCCTGAGTACTCACCGCGGCCATATCGGAATCGTGATGTCATAAGCGAGAAATGACACTGTAAAGTTTATTGTGCTAATTTTACAAAAAAAGAGATATTTGACTAAAATAACACTTGACATGGCTTTAAGACACTTGTGAAAATGAGCGGCTACTCTTTCCCTTCCTGATAGTCAATAAATAGCTGTAAAAGAGTGAAATGAAGCCTGTTCAGAAAACATACGATTTGACAGCTGTTGAGAGAGAGAAAGAAGTGGAAAAAATGCTTTCACATATAATGTCCAAAAATTTTAGCTGCCGCTTATTTTTATGAATCTGGTAAGTACGGAACAAGTCATATCTGCACGATTAAGCACGCATTAACAACGCAAATAATCGCAATAAAAAATTTTACTTATATAAAGATGAACAAAGACAAGGATAAGATAAGGATAAATAAGCTCCTATTTTTCATCATGATGATACGTCGCTATCGTCAACGTGAAGTTTTCCGCTGAATACTCAGGAGCCTTAAACCTTTTTATCAAAACGATACTTTTACTTATTGTTTATTGCTCTCTCTGTTGTTTCAATTAGTAAAATGACTTAATTTATTTATGTTATGTTTGAAAAAAGTCGCTACGGAGGGAAGAAAAAACTGAATAAAAATTAATTCTGTCGTGCAATTATGCAGTCTTCGAGATTCTTTTGAGAATTAGTCCTGGGTTATTTTATTAAATTGCGCCCACTAATCCGCCTATAAAACGTGTCATCACTTCAGAAAAACGTGTAAGCATAACGTGGCTTATAATTTCATGGCTTACCCGCAATTGTCCCTTTTCATCTCGCACTCGTTACGATAAAGTTTGTTATCGGAGCCGCAAACAAACTGACGCTCCCCACTGCAAATCTGGTTGCAAAGCGCGGTGGTACGACAGTGCTGCGCCGGAACTTGAACCACCCTCTGGCCGCAAGTCTCACGTTGCAGATGGCAGAGGGATCTAAATGCATACGAGTGCACATATAACGCATCCGCAAACACTGATCCCCAAAGGAGGAATGATTTCGCGGTTCGATAACTAGTATATCGCTGTTTACAATTTTAGCCCGATTTGTTCTCTAATTTTGAAAAAGTGTTAGTATCGTAATATTTACTTTTTGAAGATCTAGCGATCGCATAATCCAAAATAATCGAAAATAATTTTATCATGGACTTTAACGATGCTCGATTAAATATGAACATGTTGGATATTTATACTGGGTTGATAATACCCCATAAATTCAAATCGGTTAATGTTAATTTATCTTGTTCAATCTATAAGCAGAATCGCGTATCAGAAAAGTGCTGAAAACGGCCTGAGGCCTTTCGTCGGTCTGTCGAACGACTATTTGAGAACGACTATTTGTCGCCACACGCCCTTCGAAAACCTTCGTCGGCGGACTCTGGAATCCGAATAACACTGTTAATCACCGATAAACATTGCCGTCGCTTCCACAAACTGGTTCCTCGAGTACTTGGTCGCAATCTTCGGGGCAGTGTTCGGTCTCTTTCAAGGTCGTGCATTCACCAATATGAGCCAATTGGATGCCCTTTCTAAAATGCATCAAGCACCGAGGAAGATTAGTCATGTCATATTTTAAAGAGATTACGAAAGAACACATATGTCTGTTCAAATCTTTTATATTTTTAATATTTGATGAAAAGAAAAATAAATTTGTTGATAAACATATCTTCCCCTAAAATGAATACAACTTACAAGCAAACTGCTACGTTCAAATGGCACTGATTTGGATAAGTATTCGCGTCGCTACCACAAACGGGATCCACTTCACTTCCGCACCTCTGCTGTTGCTTCATGCATTTCGTTAGCCGAGATCGACACTTTTCAAAGTCTACTACCGTTACCTTTCTTCTTGCATGCCTGTTGATTAACATATCGCTAAAGACTGGTATTTAAGAAGAAAGCAATTTGAATGTTTTTTTTTTTTTTTTTTTTTTTTAAGTAGAAAGCGTTGTTGATTAGTTGTATGATTACAGAGTCAACTTTTAATACAAAAATTAAATATTTATGATTCATGTGTAATGGATGGTAAATACGCACCCACAATTAAGCATTTGCATTTCGCATTCGTTCCTGTATATATTTCCATCTGATCCGCAAACCGATACTTCCGGCTCGTTTTTGCAGTCCAAGGGACACGCGTTGCTTCCGGATGTCCGTTCTCGAGATACGCAGAACGACATTGGCACTTCGAAGACGTGCTTGCTAAAAGACATAATCCGAGTGGGTATCGTCGAAGCTTAAAATTTTCGTGTCCAAATTGATAAAATCACTACGAGGTTTTCATCATCTAAAGTACAGTTAGATGAGATTACAAAATTTATCAATTAGTTATATTCAAGAGAAAATTGAAACGATATCAAGAAATGTTACATCACATGATATTTACGTTTTATAATATGATATGATGATGTAAATATGATATATGTATATGATATTTAAACAAAATTTCCAGTGAAGAGAAGCGAAGGATGAAGTTTGAGCGCTCTTCAAATTAGATCAAGGATTATAACGAAGAATACGGGGGAGCAATTTATGAACGATTAAGTGCGTATAGGCAAAGGGAACACGGTGAAAGGGAGGAAAGAAAGGAAAAAACGAGGCAGGGTTGCAAGAGTCTACGAGAGTTTTGTTGGAAGGTCTCGCAGGAACGATTTCACTCGCAAGTTGAATTCGCAAGGATTCATCAATGATTTGCCACTTACCCGCAATTCTTCGCCCGCATTTTGCAGGTATTCGAATACAAAATGCCGTCGCTGCCGCAGGCAGGTTTGGCACCACGCCAGCACGATTCACGACAATGTCTTGTGGTCTGGCAGTGCTTCTTATTCGTACGCACGACGCCTTGGCTGCGAACCGGAAAAAGTCAAAATCGCTTTGCGGCCAGGCTAGTTTTACTTAGTTAGACTTGGAGAATAAACTCTCCTTCCCACAAAATAATACGCGTTTTACGAGAAGAGACCACGACTACAACGACAGTGAATTATAGTATTTATAAGACCGATAATTTTTTCACGTGGAAAATAAGAGACATATAAGTAAAATATAGATATAAACACAATCACAAATAGATACTAACGGAACTAACTTTAACGCGCGGAAAAGAAAGTCTCATCGCGTAAATATACAATGATGAAACGTGATTTTTACTGTTTTTTTTTTTTCGAAAATTTCGAGATTCCATGCCCTTGCTCTGTTTGTACTATTATTATGGTCACAAGGTCAATTTTCGACGTACCCGCAAGTGAGCAGCTTCATCTGACACGTAGACTTGTAGACGTTACCGTCGCTTCCGCAAACCGGTCCGTCGAGCGGCGCATAATCGCACGAGACTGGACAGTTCTCCCTGTGGGCCGAAATATTGTTGCAGGGCCCGAGATGAGACAGCTCGATTCCGACCCGGCAGATTTCCACTCTGAGCATGCACTTGTTCAGGTAGGTACGCCCATCGGTGCCGCATACCGGATCTTGATCGCCCGGACAACGGTGCTCGCACTTGCTACCGGATGACCTCAGGCAAGCCGTCTTCTCCGTGGCCACGGTAACGCCTAAATGAGCGTGCGACGGCGAAATAATGAGACACGCGGGTAGATTTCGCGCGGTCATCGAGCGAAACGAGATCTTTGTGGCGCGCGATCTCGTCTCCGAAGGAGACGAAGAAGGTTCGAATATCGTTCGATACTCCAGAGTGTAAATAGTCCGTTTCGACACTCCAGGGAATCGCGATTCGTTTTGCAGCCTTTCATATATAATTTATCGTGGTCGTCTATTATACAAATGAACGGATCCTCGTTACACCATAGGCCGCCATAGGTGGAAAGAGAATACGAACCGAAATCTCTTTATCCGCGTGACCGTCCGCACGCGGTGGAGCACGCGGTGAATATCGCGTGAAGAATAATCCAGCGAATGAAGACCGCTTTATTTTCGCGATTGTAATTGAAGCGCGCCCGCCGCTTATATCTCTCGATAAACCGCTACTAATGGGCCTACGCGCCTATTCTTACGGTCGGTTTAACGTAACAAAACGAACGATCATACCGAGGAGTTACCGTGATATATGTCCAACGACGGGAATCTCACGGAGAGAAGAGAAAAAAACTGTAATCTTTACGTTGAACGAACACCGGAACCGGTGCACATACATGTACTACTATATATAATAACTATTATAATTAAAAGCGCCTTACCCTTTCCGCACATCTTCTTCCGCATTTCACACTGCGACGCGTATATAACACCGTCGCTGCCGCAAACAGGCTCGCCATTCGGCGGACATATCCTGGGACATGCACCGGACGCGTAATCTGCGTGCGAAAATTGCCGTCGGTTAATGGAAATAATCAAAAGTAATAATTGATAATCATTGCGTACAAGGTGCCGATAATTTATAACATATAATATATCAATTAAGTCGTAATCGAAAGGAATTGCGTTTCTTATGGTGTATCGCATATAGGTAGACAAACAGTCGTAGAATGCCGTACCGTAAATAGTGTAATCTTTTACTAAATTGTACACCTTCCCACTCACTTTAATAGACTTGTTCTGAATACGGCCGAGTACTGTTAGAAAAGCGAAGTTTTAAGCGTCAACGGTACTCTGATCAAAGAAGAAAGAAAAAAAAAAAAAAACAAAAGAAGAAAAAGGAAAAAGTAGTAATAACTA